AGTCAGACCACATGTAAAGAGGTCAAAATTTGTGCTGACACTTTCAGCTGGCTTGTAGAACTTTGACTGGAGAACATCACATTTCCTTCCCACCCAGATTCTGACCGTGATTAATCCCATACAGGCTTGTATTATATATTTTTATATACAATTTTTCCCATATATGTTTTTACATGTTTTTTTTCAAGATTACATGTTTTGTAAAGCCATATCTTCCTATTCTATACTTCATCATGTATTTTTCCCTATTGTTTTGCAGTGAAAACTGTATGGTAAAATTCTTTGAAGTACATATCACAGTGGGCAGTTGCCTTCTGCTTCCCTTCTAGCAGGACAGGTCAACTTCTGAAAATCAAGATCAGCAGTTCTGTTTTTGACCTTGTGGAGCAGCATTTTTCAGCTTCAGCCACTTTAAGATCTGTGGACCTCAACTCCCAGAATTCCCCAATTGGAATGCAGGGCCAGTTTTATTTGCTTTGGGCCCTTTGTTTAGAAGAGCTTAATGGCAACAGAAGTATAAGGAGTCTGATTCTTCTCCCTTAATCTTCTCCTTCCAACAAACCAGAAAACCACCCCAAGTTTGATGGCTTACTTGTCAATCATTTTGCCAAATTAGAATGCTGGAGGGCTGCAGGAAATCTATATGCCACAGGTAACCCATTTTGAAGAAGAGATTGGATACCTATTTGTCTGAAATGGTATAGGGTTTCCTGCCTAAGCAGGGGGTTGGAGTAGAAGACCTCCAAGGTCCCTTCCAACTCTGTTAATCTGTTCTGTTCTGTTCTGCCTTATATATTTGGGATATACAAAATGAATAAGTTTGCAACCAAATGACACACTACTAAGTTTAATGGGTGCTGTAGTTTCCTTTCAAGGAGGGAGACAGCAATGTCAAAGGAGAAGGACCAAGAGTGTGATTTAGTGGTAAATCCCTGTTTAAAGCATAAAGAGTGCATCATTTAAAGCAGGGGTGTCAACCTGCCAGCCTGTGGGCCGGATGCATCATAGCGAAACCGTGCCCACCCCATTGCCGGCAATGGCAAAAAAGTCGCGATACGTCACGACACGTCACGTGACGTTGAGAGTTTGACACCCCTGATTTAAAGGAAGAGCACAGAACTTCGCAGTTTCAGTCCACCAGCATATTCAGAAAAAGAGACTTCTCAAAGTCCACTGAGGCTCCCTAGCTGAACCTTGAGCCATTGACAGTGCTAGACTAGATATACCAAATTGTATGATTGCATATTTTTGTTTGTTCTGTAAGGTTCCTTTGTGATTGCTGTGGCAGGTGATCTTGGTTACTGAGTATACTTTAGGGTTTGGATGTTGGGAAAATTAAGCTGAGCTCTCTGAATTGGCTCAGCCCAGCCCAGCAAATCTTGATTCCTCTAAGATTAAAATTGTAATTGCCCTCCAAAGAAGATGGGTGGGATGCTCCACTAAACCAGATTTCAGCCTGACATGTGTTTTTCCCCAGCTGAGTCACGGAGAAGGGTAATGGGAGATCTTTATCTTTTGCAGTTCTTCTCCATCTCCTAAAGGGCCCCGTAAGGTCGAGAAGTTCTTCACAAGACAGCTGCGTCTGTTGTCTCTTTCTTTCCCCAGGAAGCTGCAAACATTTTAAAGAGTGAAAAAGGAACACGTGAAAGCAAATAATGGAGCGTATCTCCCTTTCCTATCCCGGAGCTCCTGCTTAGAGTCCTGACAAACAAGGAACAGAACTGCTCTGGGTACCAGATGGAGAGTTGAAATTGGCAAAGATCAGTTAGTGGCAGCAGGTTGGAGAAGCTCAGCCAACCCACTCCAGCTCCCCTGGGAAGTGTCTGTACTTGTGAGAATCACACTTTCTTGCAGATCAGATGCCTCCCACCTTGACTGTGGTGCTCAAAGGTCAGGTTTGTGAGGCTTTGACACCCTCTAGTGCCCAATTGGAGCAAGAGCAGTATCTGAAAGTGCCCATTTCCTTCCTGCAAAGCTCCTGCTCCTTGGTGGCTGCTTAGCAGGCCGAAATTCAAGAAATGCAACGTTTCTTAATATCCAGGAAAGAGGATCATTGTGAGGTTGTTGTTGTGTGAGAGTGCTATGTTTATTCCCCGAGCAGTGGGGGAAAGGAAGAGGAAGTCCAGAGATATATGGATGCTTCCACTTTGCATAGCTTGGCTTATTTTTGGACTTGCCCTCTCCTGCCTAACTTTCAAGAGATGAATAATAACACATCCCTGCACAGGGCCTGATCAGATGCTTCGGATGCTACTAATGCAGAAAAGTGGTACAGATGGTGAAGGGAGGAGGCGGTGCTAGAGTAGCAAAAAAAAAAAAAAACGCTGGAGGTGGGGGGGCTCAGATCTAGCTCAGTGCAGGAAATCTCTTAAGGAAATGCTTTTTCATGGTTGCATTGAAATATCTTAACATTCAGCTAAGATCTATCCTGCTTGGACTAAACCCAATATTCAAGAGGTCCTAAATGGGACTGTTTCCCTACCATCTTTGCACACTGTCTTTCCCTCTGGGACCAGTGGGCTCCAGAAGACTGGGCCAAGCCAGAGGAGCATGTGGGTAGTTCTCCTGGCTTCTGAAAAAGCTTGCATACTTGAAGAGAGCAAGATGCAGTAGGGAGAAAGGAGGAGAAGGGAAAGCAAAGCAGGGCTCTGTGATAGCAGTGGGTCCCTGCTGGGGTGTGACTCTTGCCAGCCATCTGCAAGTAGATTGACTAAATCCTTACCCTGCAGAATTGTCTGCAAAGACTAATGAAAACAAAGGCATCTTTGGGGTATGACATTTCAGAACTGAAAACGGCTTTTTATAGAGGGGTGTTGTGTCTCCAGTTCCTCTGCTTCTACTTTCCATCTTGCATTCTTGTCTACTGCTCAAGGCTGTTCTGTGTTGGAATAAAGGTAGCTCAGGTTCACTGTACATACTTTTAGTTGGGCTTAGAGAAATCAGTACTGAAGCAGAAATCACATTTTTGGCAGGCTGCTGCAGTTCTTTGTCTCATTCTCCTCTTACAACGCTATCTAATATTTGGCTTCTTCTGCAGTGAACATGTGGGTACATGGACCACGGCAGTCTCCTTGTTAAGGATAACTGAAGAACATTTACTTTTTCCGTGGGTTGTGTTGTCCTTATTTTAGAACAATTTGTAATTCAGTAGCATTGACTCTCTGAAGGGGGGGCTATGTGAAAGCAAGAGCGGAAGGAAAACACATGTTTTCCAGGGCACAGACATGTGCACAGGCTCATAACATTATGACAAAGGATCCAAGCAAGACAGAAAGGAAGATTTCTCCCTGGAAAGCAGAAAAGAGTTAACATCTACATTTAACAGGAGAGGATGAGGGGATAGCAAAAATGCCCTTCAGTATAGCCCCTTCCTCAATTTGGGGAGCTTGTTGGCCTCTTGAAGACAACCACAGTTCTCCAAAGCAAGCCATTCTAAGGACCCTTTGCAATTTGTTGGGACAGTGTAGAATATTAAAATGGTCCTTAGACCCACTTGCTGGTCAATGTCTGGAAATCAAGGAAGGGAAAGGAATGCTTAAGGGTGGCCCCGAAGCAAGGGCTATCCTGTAGGATTGTTACAGCTCTGCCATACCCAAGACCCTGGGGGTCACTGCTATGGTGTTGTCAGTGCATGTTTGATTGATGTGAAAAGAATTAACCAGTGGAATGGGTTGCCTTCAGAAACTGTGGGTGCTCCATCACTGGAGGTTTTTAAGAAGAGATTGGACAGCCATTTGTCCAGAATGGTATAAGGTCTCCTGCTTATGCAGGGAGTTGGACTAGAAGACCTCCAAGGTCATTCAGACTCTGTTATTCTTCCAACTCTGTTATTCTGTTATTCTGGTTGGAGGTCTGAGTCCCCACCTTATAGATGTAACTTTTGGGAGATTCATCCTGAAGGGCTGTTTGACATATGCTTCCTCAAATTCTGTGCTTAGCCCCCTTTTCCCTTATATAAAAGGTATAAAAAGGTTTGTTCAGTGATTGCAGCCTGCAAAGAGAGGATGAACACCACCACATTTCATTAATTCAGAATAGCAACAGCACTAACACATAGACTTATATACCGCTTCACAGTGCTTTACAGCCCTCTCTAAGTGGTTTACAGAGTCAACATATTGCCCCCAACAATCTGGGTCCTCATTTTAGTGACCTTGGAAAGATGAAAGGCTGACTCAACCTTGAGCCGATCAGGATCGAAACTCTGGCAGTCGGCAGAGTTAGCCTGCAATCTTGCATTCTAACCACTGCGCTACCATGGCTCACTGTGCATCCAAAGGAATCATCCGTTCCTTGGCATGAAGCTTCAAAAACTGTATATCTAGAACCGCAGCCTCTTTCCTTTTCTTCCAAAATAGGTTTTTGAGGTTTTGAGGGAAATGTTAATAATGGGAAAATGTTGTATTATTTCTACCTCCTTTGACTTCCACAACAGGACTGTTTCAGCCAGGTCTTTTCTTCCAGATGGGAGAGACTGCAGATGTTCTCTGCTATATTCTTCTAATGGATACCTTTGAGATTTTAGGAGCAAGTTGCAGGCATTTCCTGAAAATAGGTGCTGGAGGAGGACTTGCCTCATTTCAAACTGGCTACTGTGGAGGACGTTGGTAGTTCTGTAGAACAGACGGTTCTTTGCCAGCCCCTCTATTATTCCCAGTCTGTAGGATGCTCTCCCACAAACCCAACTATCAGTTTCTTTTTTTTTTTTTCACAGCAGGCAGATATCTCTCCAGATAAAGTACTGAGCTATAGCCATCCCCCGCTTTTATTTTCAAAACAATCTTTTGGAGCTAAAACATTTTTAGAAATAAATATACTTCTAGAGCTGATGGTTTGGCTTTCAGCAGGCTAAACACTATTTTAATTTGTTAAAAGTAATGTGGGCCAAAGAGATGGGGGGGAAAAATCAAGAAATCTGTGCGTTGGTATCCACAAAACCAGGTTGGCGAATCCATTTTCTTGCTGACTCCTGTACTGTTTTCTTTCTGATTGCCAGGAGGTAATGATCCGGCGTTAGCATTGCATTGGTCATGATGATGTCCGGATTGCCGGAGGCCTTGAGCCGGCTGAGAGCAAATTCTCTTCGCAGTTGCTTCAGCCTGGCAGGGCCCTCAGAGTCTACCATGGTTGCTGTACCCATTGATATAGACAAGGATGAAGTTCGGATCCTCAAGGTTTGTTTCCACAGCAACAGTTTCAACATGGGCAAGAACTTCAAACTGGTGAAATGTACAGTCATGACGGAGATACGGGTGAGTTTCATGAATGAGTCTCATTGGTTGATGGCTTCTTGCAATGGGCTTGGACCCATGTCCTTCTGTTTACATCAGTGTTTTTCAAATTTGGTGAGAGCTACCTTGGTGTAGTGATTAAGACGTCAGACTAGAAACCAGGAGAACATGAGTTCTTGTCCCACCTTAAGCATAAAGCCATCTGGATGACCTTGAGCCAGTCACTGTCTCTCAGCTCTAGGAAGGAGGCAATGGCAAACCACTTTTAAAAATCCTTGCCAAGAAAACTGCAGGTTCTTATCCAGCAGTCTCCCAGAATCAGATACCATTGGACAGAAGAAAAAAAACAAACATGGCAATTTTAACATGCGTAGACTTCAGACTTTCAGAATTCCTCAGAATGCTGGCTGGGGATTTCTAGAAATTGTATCCACACATCTTAAAAGTTGCCGTGTTTGAAAAACACTGATTTAAATTAACAAAATAGCCCATATTAAAAGATGCACAAGGGTATATCACCAAGGTATGTGTTCGATATGTTTCTGCACATTATGTGTAAATTGTATGTTCTCCCCTGCCAATTCCCAGTCATTGAGGGCCAAAGTGTAGATATTACTTCGGCCTTTTGGGCAGTGGGGAGGAGGGAATCAAAGTGGAGGCAGGCTGTCCTTTTGAACTTATTTTTCCATACTTATCCTTAAAATTGCACCCAAACCCGAAAAACAGGCCAACATTTCATCACCAAAATTTAGCAACAGAGTCTCAGGCTCCTGGGGGCTTTTGGTTTACCACCCTTGACCAAGGACTGCAAGAGTTCAAGGAATTGGCTTTTTACAAAAGTAGAGCTCTTTTTAGACAGGCTGCCTCACCCACATCAGAATGAATTAAAACTGTGTTGACAAATTTTTAATGGCCAGGGGCTAAAAGCAGGAGCAGCAAACTTTTTTGTGCCTAAAGACCATATTTTCCTTAACTTCCCAAAGCCATAGAAAACAGGCTAGTGACACTGCAACACTATCAAAATGAACAGGCTAACATTTTATTTGGAAAAAATGTGCAATTAAAAATTGGCGATTGGGGTGGAGTAATCTTTAGGGCTATAAAAGGGGGGCTGGGGACTGCATAGCCAAGGTTGGTGACCTACAGCTAAATCACTTAGGGATTTAATTTAGATCAAATGAAGGCAAACCAGACATTGAGAAAAGCGGGATTATACAAAATTAGCCCTGAGGGCGAAGTGGATTCAGTGAAATTCTTAGGTATCCTTGTTTTTATTGGATTGTTATGCACACATGTGCACATACAAACATACAATTTTGGGGATATGTGTTTATTTAATTTATATAATCTAGTTTTCTTAATATTTCTGGTACTTTTGCCTATCGCAGGGCTAAATCTAAAGCTGCTACTCTCCCTCTTGTATGTGAATGATGACGTTTTGGCAATATAAATTTAAATATTCAGGGAACTTTAGAATGTAACTAGGCGGAACACCCCTGTTTAGAAGCAGTCTACCTCTGAATTTAGCTGTTGGGACAAAGCAAAAAGAAGATGTATTTTCTGTATGCTTTGTGAATATTCTAGAGAGTGAACTGTTCTTGAGAATAAAATGCTGAATTAGATGTATTTAGGGTGTAATATAGCAAAGCAGGTCTTAAATTCAAAATATGTTCTGCTCAGCTTCTTCTGAGTATATTGTCTCTCTTATTAAGTTTTGTAAGACTTTAGAGGCCCTTTTCATAGGGTTACAAAGCCAATAACCATCTTTCCCCCAGAAAAACAAAATAAACAAATGTGAGATCTTTACTTTTTTCCTCTCATTCAGATACTAATTCTTGGGTCCAAGGAGGAATGTGCAAAATGATTGTATACCTGAAACATTATAGATGAGGTCCAAAGTGACATTAGTGGGTTGCCAAAATGTCATTTAGTGCATTGCTAGTGAGGAATATATATTACAGTATTTCTTGGCAACTTGAAAATGTATTGATTTCAATTCCCAGAATTCCCTGGTCAGATTATTTTTTTCCCCTTGACTCTTCTTTTTAATTAGAAATGCTTCTTGCACTTCTCCAGATTAAATTCAAATAGAAGGTAGATACCTGATTTATTTTTAAAATATTGCTCATATGAATTACCAAATTGATCTGTTCAGAATTTCTTTTAAGTTCAGAAGTTTCTCACAACCTTGTTATATTTTTCTCCCCTTCCTGCATTTTTCCTTTATAGGAAGTAATAAAGTCAATCCTACAGAGTGGAAGAATTGGTCCTGATATCCAGCTTGCCGAGTGCTATGGATTACGCCTGAAGCATGTGAAATCGGACGAGATCCATTGGCTTCATCCAGACATGACAGTGGGTGAAGTCCAGGACAAATATGAATGTTTGCACCTTGAGGCTGAATGGAGGTAGGGAGCCCCTTCTGTATCCATCCTGTTCTCACCAGTCCTCTTGACCGCAATACAGAGATGTACAAATGCACAGGTATAGTATAGGGGGTATCTTGCTCAATAGTAGTAACTGTGAGAGGGATCTCGGAGTCCTAGTGGACAATCACTTAAATATGAGCCAGCAGTGTGCTGCAGCTGCCAAAAAAGCCAACACAGTGCTGGGCTGCATTAACAGAGGGATAGAATCAAGATCTCGTGAAGTATTAATACCACTTTACAATGCCTTAGTAAGGCCACACTTGGAATACTGCATCCAGTTTTGGTCACCACGATATAAAAAAGATGCTGAGACTCTAGAAAGAGTACAGAGAAGAGCAACAAAGATGATTAGAGGACTGGAGGCTAAAACATATAAGGAACGGTTGCTGGAATTGGGTATGTCTAGTTTAACAAAGAGAAGGACAAGGGGGGACATGATAGCAGTGTTCCAATATCTCAGGGGCTGCCACAAAGAAGAGGGAGTCAGGCTATTCTGCAAAGCGCCTGAAGGCAGGACAAGG